TGTGAACCAATGTGCCAGCAGCTCAGCATGAGCTGGACTGGGCAGGGCAGCAGCAGGCAGGGCAAGAAGCACCTTCAGATCTCTAATGACCACACACATCTGGAAATTGGAAACTCTGTCAAGATTTGCCCGAGTTTAAGCCATTCAAAGCAAAGAAAAATTGCCTTGAAATTGCCCATTTCAATCTATGATTATAAAATAGCATTTTTAAGGCTACGTCTACATAACACTGTAACTGATTTAATTGATTTCATGGAGATTTCATCCATATTCCAGAGGATGCTGGAGAGGATTGGACAAGAAAAAAGGAACATGAACAACCATTTCCCCTTGAAATTATCTACTCCCTACCAGTCTGTTTTTAAATCAGTCATCTCTGTTCATATTTTCAGGAATAAATAAAAAAGAACCAATGGCACCTCCCAGCTGGCAAGGATGAAGTTTTCACTTTTGCATTTTAAGAGATCAGGAAGTTCAACAGAGGAGTCTGAGCCCAAGGAGCTGACCAGAACTGGGTGCTGTTGTATCCCAGCTGGAGAATGCCTGGGGACTGATCCAACTCAATCCATTACAGTGCACTGCCAGACACTCGAATTTCATGCTAAGGAAGTTTGACTTTGCTCTATCTAGTTAATATTTATTCTATCCCATTAATAGCAGCTTTAATAAGCATAATGACTGCAGAGCATTCCCAAAGACTTCTCAGGTCTGGAGTAACAAATATTTCCCATTTGCTCAAAATTGGCAGCACTTACAAGTCTTTCTGCACACAATGTAAATGCTGAGTTTGACAGACAAGGATAAAGTGATACTGGAAAACCAAGTTTCTGTTTAAAACAGGCATGGGGGAATTTCTTCTATGTGCCCTAGAAATATGCCACACTGGTCATGAGATTTGAAATGGCTTCATATAAAGCCTGGAGTCTGGGGTTGAATTGTTATAAGATTTAGTTCAGTACAAAAACCAGAACATTTTGTTATGGAAGTGCAGCAGTCAGTCATGTATTCTGATGTAATTTCTCAATATTTTCTGAATTATTGTTGACAATATTAAAGTACATAGAAATTCATGGAAATTATGTCTCTAAGGAAAAATATTTTACTTTGAAAATTGTGATCTGCTTATTCTAAAAAACTGAGGACTCAGCTTTGTGCGGAATTTTGAATTTATTGTTTTAGAAATAGAGTTCATTCTCAAGTGCTCAAGGCCTTGAAAGGTCAAGCCTTGCTATGGTGATAGAACAGTCCCTGGCACAGGCAGTGCCATCCCTGCAGCTGGAGAGCTCCTGCCATGCACACCCACAGATGGGGCTGCACAGCACCTTAAACCATCCCACACTGAGCTGGGGAGTGCAGTCTGGTACCTGCACTTGGCAGCCCTCTGGAGCAGCTGAAATCAGGAAAGGAACCTGACAATAACCTTGCTTTATTGCTAAGTGAGTTGCTTTAAAATGCTGTGTTGTGAATCCGCACCCAATTTACTTCCCATCAGCTCTCCATGCAAACCCGTGTGTGTCCATCCAGACACTGAGTGCAGAACAGCCAGAGGGATGGAAAGTTACAGTGCACTCTACACTGCATTAACTCCTGGGTGTCAGAGCACTCCCAGAATTAACAAGTGGTTTGCTCTCTTATGGCAGCAAGGCCAAGCTGGTGAAGACTTTGCCAACTTTGTGCTCTGTGTTCCATATCTAAGTGGGTCTCGGAGACAATTTGTGCACAGCATAAAACACAGAGGTTGTAATAACAGATGAGTGCCCTTCCTTAAAGCTGTGATCCAGCCCACAAGGCAAGCTGTACAGGCTAATCCCAGAACAGGATTTTTGCTCTTTAAGATGTTTAAACATCTTGTGCTTCCTATTATGAATGGACTTCTACATTAGTATCTCATTACATTTTTATGGAAAATAATAGCAGCAAGCAAATACCTGTGTAAATGTGATTTAGAAAGCATAAATATTTGTGCAATTCCCACGTTCAAATTTTTTGTGAGGTCTGAAACTACTTCAGAAAGTCAGACTATAACAGAAAAGGTTTTATTCCTCCTGTTGTTCTAAATTAATAGACTGAATATCCTTTTGAAAATATTTGTACTTCTACCATACACATTATTTCAGGAAGAGAAGCTGATAAATGTATAAGTCATTTTCCAGAGGAAAGCAAAAGAACCTCTCATTTCTTCTATAAACAGTTGATCAAAACCCTACAGCAATACCAGCAACAGGAAGAATCTGTATCCCCACAGACACATTTTTCTTTGTACAGTGTCTGCTGAAGACCTTTATAGATTGTCTTTGCACAGAAATTTCAAAGAGAACTCAGATGTTTTTTACTAAATGAAAAAGAAATCTCAAGTAATCCTGTAACAAGAATGTGTGTTGGACTGACTCACTGGTGACATTATGATGAAAAAATAACCATTTTCTACAAGAACATTCTTGAACTCACAGCACAATAAGAACAGACTAAGGAAGCATTAAAAAAACGTTACCAGTGGAGGGGGGGGGTGGAGATTGCTTTGATAGAAAATCTAGGGGGGAAAAATGAACAAGTTCCCTTTCTTTGACAGAAGTTAAAAGCACATCAATACTTTAAACTCAATCCATACAAACACGGGGGAGAGAAAGGTGTCCAGTTGCACAACAAAAGGAAAGTTCATTTACTGAGTTAAAAAAAAAATACTCTGCAAAATACTGACTTGAGAATACAGAATCATTGTTGGTTGGTTGTCTGTCACCTAAGATGTAAACAAACACTTGGCAATCAATAGACAGTTCTCAAGAGTGAACAAACAGAAACAGGATTGGGTCCACATGTCACCTAAGGAAACACTACAAGGATGAGGCTGTACTTCTAGTTTTCTTTTTGCTAACTTTGCACACAGAACATCACATGTTGTCATCTTACTGCAGGGGTTCCACACTGTTCTCTCCCTACCACAACAGTTCCCTACTTTCTTGGTGTTTCTCGTGGTCATCTCCTCACAGCACTGACTCTTTCTTCTTCTCAAAGCAGCCACTGACTCCAGTTCCCTTCTCACCCAGCCACCCCTCTCTTTTCTAGCACTCTGCTTCTCATTGCTTACAGCTGTGGCCTGGTAAAGTCAGGCCTGTTCCTGATCTTTGATAATTGGCCCAGCTGCAGCTCCTTAGGGGTGAGATTCCTTTCTACACTAGCTTTATTTTCTTACATTCTATCCCACTACAATCACATTGCATAAACTGCATGTTTTTCCCATTTAATCTGTTAATTTTTAGTGATTACATTAAATTCCTTAATTACTCCCCCACCACCACCCCTAGACTTTCTTATTTCCACATACAGTAATCAGAAGTGCAGATCTCTGCTGGAAAATTCTTCTATCACTCTGTCAGCTCTGTTCCAGACACTTCCCATTTTCTCCCCCCTTTTGAATACCACTGCCAGGGACCTTCTCCCCTCAGGCCAGCTGGACACTGAACCCTGAAACATGAAGATGCCTTGGGTTGTGTTACAGTCACCTCTGTGAATAAGTCCAGTGGGTCTTTTCCTACCCTGGAGTGGCACCAGTGTCTGCTTCAAAGTCCCCACCACAGGTGAGGAAGATCCAACTGGATTATCCCGACCCCACAGACAGCTCCAGGGATGGACAGGAGATGGAGAGGTGATGCTATAGACCCCCCCCATTGCCAATTTAAACTATGACAAACATCTCTGGCATTCCTCCTTCTCCTCCAAAATGGACTCTTAAAGCCACCAAATTCTCAGACCAACTCATGTAAAAGACACCCAACAAACAGCATTCCCTGTCACACCCCAGGGCCATTCTGCTCTCTTCTCACAGGGTGTAACCCCTCTGTGCACATGAAATGCACCCCAGGAAGCTGCACAGATGAGCAGAGCACACCCAAATGTCCTACAGAGCCCAGGAGCTGCTGAAAGGCACAGCCCAGAGCTGCTGAATTACCTGCCAGTGAGCAAAGCTCTTGCTTTGTGTCTGCCTCCTTCCATTCCCTCCCTTTGTGCACAGCAAGCAGCAACCTTTCATTAGCCTTTCCACACTCCCATCCATCAGTAAGTTCTAATTCCTGAAGAGAGGGTGTTATTAGAGCTTGGTGTTTGCTGTGATTGCTCCCCTCACAACGGAAGATGCAATCAGAGGAAGAATTTATGTCCTGTAATTCAATGAATGGATGTGTTCCTACAGCAATTTCTTTAGTAATTACTTGTGTAAAGCATGTTTTGCTGTAATTGAAATTCTACAGTGTACAGTTATTTATTAAAATACATTATTTATAATGGCATTTTCCATCCTAATTTCATTACTTTCTTTCAATACAATGCTTTCATAGTCACATTTTAATTCTTTTTATCGGTCTGCAGATCCTGAAAGTTTTAGGGCAACTTATAAGCATTCAAACAGAAGAGCATGCTGTAAACAGAATAAAACCAGAGGAGAGGACAAAGCAGGGACCTTACTAATAGAAACAGAGATGTTACTTTTTACCACTCCAGAGGTAAAAATTTTCTACATGTAAAACAATGAAATATTCTCTAATATTTCCCTACTTTATAAAGTTAGTCTGCTGTAAAGAGCACTTGAACATTCCTAAATAGCATTCGTGCCCTCTCACAAGTATTCCCAAGGGAATAGGAAAAAGAAGGACAATGTCTTTAAAGAAAAAATGAAAAGGAGGTGCTGAAGGACCCAGAAAGCACAGAAGATCTGTTATTCACTCAAGCACTTTTCCTGAGCAAGTAATCTTCCTAAATATAAAAAAACCTTATAATGAAATTACTTCAAATAGGTCTGTAGAGGATAATAAATCCCAAGAAGCCTACAGATTAGGCTGCTAATCAATCTCTTACTAAAAACCTAAATTTTAAAAATTAAGTGCCTTAAGGTGTTAACCTTAAGCCCCAAGTAGAAGTTGATGCAAGCTCTCAAGAAGCAGCACATGATCACAGAACCCCTTGTGGCAGTGCCTGCCTGCTGTCATTTTACTGCAAAGCTGCCATACCTTTTGGTGACTTCTCACGGGCATCTCCTCACAGCACTGACTCCTCCTTCCTCACAGCCCAGCCAACAAACTCCAACTCCCTGCTCACCCACTCTTTATAGCACTCAGCCTCATTGGACACAGCTGGGGCCTGTTAAGGGCAGGCCTGCTCCTAATCTTTGGTGATTAGCACAGCTGCAACTCCTCAGGGGTGAGATCACCTTCTGCACTATCTTCATTTTCTTCCATTCTATCCCCCCACACCTGCCCAGCTGCAGCCTCTGGGTGCCCCCTGCTAGGATCCCTCCAGACACAGGACAGCACAATTCCAGCAAGGAGTGGTGGCCACTGGTAGGGAAAAATCAGGGGAGAGACAAGAGGGCAAAGACAAAAATAGGAGAGGAGTCTCCTAAAGCTGTGTTTTGCATGGCACAAAGGGGGAAGGCACCACATTTCAAACAGGGGCTCCAGGAAAGCCAGAGAGGGACTTTTGACAAGAGCTTATAGTGATAGGACAAAAGCAATGAATTTTAAGAAGCCAGGTTTAGATTGGATGTCAGGAAGAAATTCTCGACTGTGAGGGTAGGGAGGCCCTGGCACAGGCTGCTCAGAGAAGCTGCAGATGCCCCATCCCTGGAAATACTCAAGACCAGGATCGATGGGGCTTTGAGCAAACTGGGATAGTGAAGATGTCCCTGCCCAAGGCACGGGGTGGAACTGGATGGGTTTTAAGGTGTGTTCCAACCCAGGCTATTCTATAATTCCCTGGGGAGGACAGAAAGGAAGGACAGAGATGCACCACAGTGGAACCACTGTTCACAATGCTAAACCCTTGGTGTGTTGCTGACACTGCAGCACAAATGTAAAGCAGTGGCTCAACACCAGCTAATGAGAGAAGTAATTCCACCCCTGGCAGCCCCAGCACAGTGGGTCCCACACTCCCTCAGCCTGGAGCCTCACAGCTCTCCTGCAGGCTCTCTGCCCTCATCCATCACATCCCACAAAAGGCTGTCACAGGTCCCTGCCTAAGGAGAGAGAGTTTGATTTTAGTGAGAGTAGACAACTGAGTTTAGGAATGAATAATGTTATGCTTGTAATAAGAAAAGAGCATCTTGAAGGTTATGTTTTCTGCTGTTTCTGCCATTGTAGGTCAGCTGAAAAGATTGCTCAGAGCTGCTGAAACCAGAGAGCATTGCTAGGATTTTGTGCAAAGTCCCTGTGACTTATGGCTGGAGCTGTGAGACATTAAGTATTTAACAGACTCTGTTTATCTTTCCTGCAAAATAGTTAGAAGACATTTTTTAAGTACCATTTATGAAAATAGGAGCATGTATTTTTGTTTTCAGTTTTATTTTTCTTTGTATCAAATCCTGACAACTGTGAGAAAGACTTGGCTAAAATATATCATCTGCTATCCAGAAAGAAAAACTTTCTCCACTTTCAATTATAAATGACTTTAATAATTGCAACTGAGTCTCTCATTTTTTCTCAAGCATGACCTGCTCTGTGAAAATCAATATCTCATTATCCAAGCCATAAGGTGAAGCAATTCCAGATCAGACTGTACAGCCAGTGTGTCCTCCCTGCTTTTCTGGAATCATTTGAACACAGTGAACCTTGATTCAGTGAGAATTTTATCAATTGACTTAATTTAGAGTTATTTAATAACACTGTGTGTTTCATTCAGGGGGACATAAATAACCCCAACTATCTATAATGAAAATATCCCATTCTGTTGGCTTGTGCCACATTTACAGGGAATTTTTGCTTCTTTACAATAACTGCTGGAACAAGTTATTGCATAAATGATTTCAAAGCAAACATTACTCTAAGCTACATCTTCATCACCTGAAATAAAGCTTTACTTGGAAGGTGTTTTAGACCATGAAGCAGAGTCAGATGTACCGAGCATTTTGCTCCCTTCCAAAACATTTCAAACTCAACACCATCTTCTTAGAAGTAACCAGAAGATCGGGCAAGTCAGCCCTTCCTACCCATTTTGATTAATTTTTTACCTTGTGGACACAGAACAGAGACAAACAAATACAGACAAGGGAACTGGAGGCAATCCTGTCTTCTGTTAGCACAGACTTGGGTACCCTTCCCTTCAGCTCTCCAACAAGCACACAGTTGCACTTAGTGCCATGATTAATTCTGCTTAGAAATGGACCTGAATTCCCATATACTGAGCCACTAACTTTAAGTTCTTTAATTTCAATTTCTTGAACCCCATTTTATTTTAGACTCTTGGCACAAGCTTCTCCCACACCCTTGGACACCTTCAAGCAAGCTGGTCATCTTGATTCCTTTTGAAGTCCATGAGCAGGAGCCTGGTACTCACCTCAGCTGTTTCAGATGTCAGCTTCCAGATGAGATGAAAGGAGACCTGTCCATGATTTATAAAGGGAAGGAAGATGCTGAGATTAAATGCAGATACCTACACGTGAAAGTAGAAGAGTCTCACCCAAATCTCACTTTTTCTCGAAAGACTGAAGCCCACAGCAAAAGGCTCATCCTCTGAGGCCATTGCAGCCCAGACTTGCTCAGTGTATATTAATCCTGAAATGTTGAGACTCTTGGCTGGGCACCTCGTAGCTCCTACAACCCTGACAGACAAACTCACACATTCAGCTGCTAAAACCCCCAGCTCAAATAGCAAATAATTTCATTTTACTAAATGTTTACTCTGGGTTTTTGTCACATACATTTGTTTCTGAATATGTTTTGTTTTAGTGTACCATCAATTTACAGCAGGCACCTGAAATAATGGCAAAAGGTTCTGTGCTGAGATCATGTGTAAATATCAATAAAAATTAATTTCCTTTGGCAGAGGATATTATCCAGGCACTGCAATCACCTGACCACAGTTAGACTTGATCCACTTAGATTTATCTGTTTACCCCCCTTGTCTGTACAGCCTCCATGAATATTTTTAGAACAGCAAAGAAGAGAAGCAACATAAGCTCAGAGATGACATGATTACTCCTATTTGCTCAGGGAATACACATTTTCTCTTTACAATGGGATTTCCAAGAGCCTTTTAGCAGACATTGGCTCTTCATGCAGCATCAAGTACAGGACAAAACACACAGTTTAGTGTAGGATGTACAAACAATCCTGCAGGCCACATTTTCCTAGTGAACAGACATGCAGGGGAGGGCTTGAGGAAGCCAAACTCGTATCCTTCTGATTTTTTTTTTCAAAGAATCACCTCCATTTTCTGCCTTTTGGTATTTTTCTATTAAGGCAACATCTCAAAAGCCAGCACCATGAACCAAAGTTTGACCATGAGTGCATGTTGAAAGAAAGGGGGGGGAAAGGCAGAAACTGAACAAAAAAAAATCCTGCTGTAGGGAAGCACTGCAAATATGGGGCCCCACAGGGCACTAAGGGCAAGAGCTGGCCACAACAGACAAAATGGGCAACAAAAAAAAAAAGCACTGAAAAACTGCACAGAAGAACCAGAAGTAGAATACTGGCTTCACTTAGAAAGGGAGCAAAAGCAGGAAATAAAAGAAGGAAAAGTGAATAATCTTGGGACTGTCTTTATTAAGAATATGATAAAATGTTTCAAATAACCACCAAATTCAAATGGGGGAATTTGACCTATTATGACCATTTTCAGCAAGAAGACAAAATCAGCACTAAGTGGGGAGAGATGACAACTGAGTACGTTGTATTCAGCCATTTCCCCACTAAAACCTCTCCTCAGCTTGGCTGTATCCATGACAGGTGTGTTACTCATACTTGAGTACTTCTGTTAAATTAACTTGAACTTGATAGTTCATCAATATTGATCTTTACCTGTGTGTCAGCAAAATTACTGTCCATTGGATACTTCCTTGTAGCTTCAAAGTGATTTCCTGAGGTCAAGCATAAAACAAGCACTCTCAGTGCACCCAAAAGGGCTCTCATATTTATGCTCTGTCAAACTATCACCTTTCTAGACCTCAAAAATATTTCACAAGACACCCCTAAGCAACCCTTTCAAAGGGAAATTGAAAAACTAGGACTACATTTTACTGTGCTTCTCCTGTGACTCCCTTGTTGGTTTAGAGCTCTTCCACAGCCCACCCCTCAAAGCCCCATTCCTCTCTAGACAGGATACTGAAGTGCAAAATTGGTATTTTCAGCATGCTCACCCCACCTCGGGAAGTAAGGATGTGCAATTAAGACAGGAAATTGAGTTATCACAAGACATGTACTCTAAATTGCTTGAGAAGGTTAAAAGGGCAGCTAAAGAGAAAATATCATAAAAATATTTCCTACTTCAACAAAATCCGTAGCACAAAGTTTCTGCAAGTTGAAAGATGTGATTTAAGGGCATTAAAGCACTAATGTGATTAATTGATGTCATTAAGCAAATTCTAATAGTTCACAGAGCAGTGCTAACATCTGTACATATTGCCATGCAGAGCAGACAGGGTCAATCAGCCTCACACAAACCAAACCTGGGGTTACTGATAGTTCATCCTTTAATACTCAAGTCTATAATAAAAATTGTAATTAGTATCTATCATGTATTGGACATTCCTGGGAGTATCTGACTGTATCTGGGATGGTTTTTTAACTCTGGAGTTTACTTCAAAACCTTGTTTTCCTAAGTGTCAAACCTCAAATTTTCCAAAAACTAGGAAAACAAAGGAAAATTAATCAAAAGCATAGCAGCTTCAGCCCTTCTGAAAACCTTTCTTATTTTCTTCATGTCAGGTTTTTCTGCTGCTAAATTACTTCCCTCTGGATCAAACAGGAAGACAGCTTAAACCAAGAGATGTTTTGGTTGAGAGTTAATCTACAAACAAAAATCAGTATCATGATGGACTACACAGTTGCTGCTTCCTCCAAGTGTAGAAGAATCTAATTTGGAGACTTCTTTTGATTCCTTTTGTCAATTTGTTTTTCAGGAACAGTTGAGGAAGAAAGGAGGAACTGGAATAGAAGGGATGAGTAAATTCACTAGTTGTCCCCAAAGAAAAGAAATTAAAATAAATCCAAAGAGAGGCAGATTTCTTCCAAAAGGTAGAAAGGCAAATATCCTGTAATTTACTCCTTTGGTCCTAGACTGATAGGTCTTCACAATTCAGTTCTGGGCCAGCTTCCT